TGTGCTGAGTGGGGCGCTACAGCCTGTGGACCTGCCTGGGCCAAGACAGGGTCCCCAGGACCTGCTGCACAGCAACATTTGACCTACTTCTAAGGCTCTGGGTCTGGCCCAGGCCGCGTTCTCGACTCCTCCGGGAAGTGTGGGCCTGCGTCCCAGCCCAGAGGCTGCAAGCCAGGAGGGGCGGGCCCAGGCCAGCCAGGACGGCCTGTGGAGCCTGCAGCTGGGGGACAAGGACACGTGTGGAGCCTGACCCTCCTTCCCTGCCTCTGGCTCTTGGGCCCAAGGGACAGTCAATGCTCTTTCCCATGAGGCCACCATACTCTTAACTCCCATATTGCCTCTGATAGGACGAGGGGGCATTCCTCAATCCCTCTGAACTCTGGCAGGGAGGTCTGCCAAGCACCCATCACCGACTGCCAAGAGTTTGCCCTTACCATAGCCTGCCTTGTCCACTTCATGCGGCAGGCAGTGTCCACGTGGATATCCGTCATTAGCCTGTTGAGGGTTTGCATTTAAAGTCCCGGGTCTTGAATCCTGAATCGAAGATCTGCCTTTAGAATTCTTCGTCTAGGGTCTCGGCGGCTGGGTTTAAGGTCTAGGTTTGGCATTCTAGGGTTTATAGTCTGGATTCAGGGTGTGAATCCCAAGACCTGGGCCTGGATCCTTGGCGTGTTGTACTTCGGGATCTGGGTGCAGACTCTGAACACTTAGTTTCCGGTCTGGGCTTAGGCTTCCAGCTTTCAGCTTTAGGGTATGGGTTAGGACTCTCAAGTTTAGGTTTGGGGACCAGAGGCTGGTGGTTCTCATCCCTTCTATGCCCCCTGCTGGCCAGTCATCGCTGGTCAGCCTCGACGGCCACCACATGTGGAGCAGCCTTACCCTCACCTCCTCAGGCTGTGACAGGGGTCTCAGCCAGTAGCTAGGGAGTGAGTGGCAGTGAGCAGCAGGCCTGAATTGAGTTGGGCACTGGAGGAGGAAGGGCACAGTAAGTAGATGGGAGAGGGAGCTCTGTAGTCATTCAGGAAGCCCCTCCATACTCCCCAACTCCATCTCCAGGGATGGGCTTAGGACTTTTTGTTTGTTTGTTTGTTTTTTCTTTTAGATTTATTTTTATTTATGTGTGTGTCTGCATGAGTGTGTGCCACAGCTATGGTTACCTGTGGAGGACAAAAGAAGCTGTCAGATGCTCTTGAGCTGGGCTGGGTTAAAGACAGATCTGATTGATGTGTTAGGGACTGAACCCAGAACCTCTACAGGTGTTCGGTGTTCTTGGTTTTTGTTCTTTTTTTTTTTTTTTTTTCTGAGACAAGGTTTCTCTGCCCTGGAATTCACTCTGTAGCTGGCTTCGAACTCAGAGATCCACCTGCCTATGCCTACCAAGTGGTGGGACTAGAGGTGTGTGTCACCACCACACCAGATTTTTTAAATTAAAAATAAATCTTTATATATTGAGTTAGATAAGGTTTCATGTATCCCAGGCTGCATACTTGTGTGGTCACAGATGTCCTACCTCTGCCTCTTGAATGTTGCAATTACAGCTATCCCCTACCACACATCATACATAGTGGGGCAGTTAATACCCTTTAAGAGCAAGGTAAACTTAGAAGTTTGAGACCATGGTTCATCAGTATTTATTGAGTGCCTGCTATGTTCCAGGCTCTGGCAGCGAATAACGGTGGAAGAAAGTTCCTGCTGTGAAAGCTGGTGCTCATGAAAGAGGGAGCCACACCTGAAAGACAGTCAGCGACTAAAGTGAACAGGCATGGGGATTGGGGACACAGGGAAGAGGGAGCAAGGGAGTCTGAAAGAAGCTTCTCAAAAGGGCTGTCATCTAAGATGCGAGTGGTGTGTGTGTGTGTGTGTGTGTGTGTGTGTGTGTGTGTGTGTGTGCAGGAGCTAGCTATTGCCAGAGTCCTAAAGAAGGCCACCAGGGAGAGGAAAGAGCCGGCTGTAAGGAAACTGAGAAGGGCCTAAAAGGAGGCCACTGTATCCCACCGGCTCTCCTGCCCAGATCCAGAGGCCTCTTAGAACCCAGGGCCTGGGGGCAAAGGGAAGTAAGGAGGCTGCTCCCCACAACCCCACTTGTGATTTTGTCACCTGTCTGGCCTTAGCTCGGTCATCAGAGCTGGGGTTAGAGGCAGGTATTCACACTACCACGATTTGATTCTCCCAGCCCCTCAGGTCCTGCCAGAATCCTGTCTGCTCAACTGTTCTTTCTGGAGGGCATAGAGCAACATCCTGGCCCTGAGAGCCGAGTGTTGGCATGTCCTGTTCTCCCTGCCGCTTCCAGACCTTCACCTGCCCACCTGCTCACCACGGTTTTGCTCCTGGCTTTAGCCAGCCAATCCTACTGGCTGTAGAAAAGCTGGAAGAGTCCCTGCTGCCTGCCAGGTACCTGTTTTAGGGTACTCCTAAAACAGAGGAGCCTGGGGATGGATACTCCAGGAACCAGCAGGGGGCAAGCTGAGGGTCAGAGTTTAAGCAGAGGCTAGCCTTAGCCCCCATTTGAGCCCTGGCTCAGCCATAACGTTCTCTGCGCTATGTATGAGGGTATGGGACCATACCCTAGTATCTCCCCATCCCAGACAGGGGAAGGTAGCATCACCAGGCTCTGACAACATGAGCCTCTTAGCACAGATCTCAGACTGGAAACCAGGATGGACCAACTATGCACTTACAGTCTGAGCTGCTTTCCAAGGGGTAAGAAGTATACACCCTATGTATACATTCTCAGCCCTGGACCTCAGTTTTGCCCTGCTAAATGACAGGGGCCTGGGTGGCGTCTTGGCTATGCTTATAGGTGGATGATGCCACCATCCAGTTGTGCCAAGAGGTTCTAAGGGCAGTTGGACTGTATAGATCTCTCTCTCTCTCCCTCTCCTTCTCTCTCTCCCCTCCCCCCGGGCTGTCTTCTCCCTTGTGGTATTTCTGATGTCTCTGTGGACCCTCCCCCACTTCTCTCTTTCTCAATACTCTTGCCAAACATCTGGAAGAAAAGTGAAAAACTTGTCCCCCCTCCCAGCCCCGGATGTTGTCAGATTTCCAGATGTGGGGTGTTCTGCCCTCCAGATGAAGAGAGGAATGTGTTCCTGCCAGGGATGGGGACTCAGCCCTGGACTGCTGTCCCTTCATTGGAAGGCTGAGCAACAGGATGAGAGGAGCCAGGATCCGGGAGGAAGATGGTGGGGCGCCCCAGGGTGAGGCCTTGATACCTTGTCTCAGCTCGAGTTCTATCCTTTTTCATGCCTGGGAAGCCCCATGGGGCTTGGGGTGGGAGGGAGGCACTGTCTCTGAAGTCTCTATCAAAGGCTTCAGGCACTTAAAAATAACTAGGAACACCCCTTTCTCCCCCCCCCCCCCAGGCACAGACGCCGGCGGGAACAGAACTCAATGTGTTTGCAAGATGTCCTCACTCTCTGCGTCTGATGCCACCTCAGTCTCTCCATTTCTCAAATCGGTGGCCCAGCCAGGCTGAGCTATGTCATAGCCATCTGCCAGGGGCAGGGGACCAAGGGAGGAGTTCCAAGGCTGGACATTGTTGCTTGTGCCCGGGGTGGCGTGTGTGCGCGCGCGCATGCGTGTATGTGTACCTTAAGAGTAGGCACTGAGGGGTAGAAAGTGGGATGAGAATGTTAGATTGGAGCCTAGGGACAAACCTCACCCAGCACCTTGGGGTCTCTCAGAGATGCAGGGTTTCCCCAGAGCAGAAGGAAGCGTGGGAGAATGGGAGGAACAGCAGAAAGCTTCGGGGATGGCAAATGGAGGTGCAAGCAGGAAGGGACGGAGGGTGCAGTGAACAAGAGGCTAGAGCATGTAGGAGGAGGTGGACACTGGACAGCACAGGGAGGGGCAGAGAGAGGCAAGGGGGTGTGAAACCTGAGACACTGGTCTCAGGGGTTGGCAGGAGCTATAAAAGGAGCCGTTGAACTATGTGGAGGACAGTCCTCAGGGAGTGCCATTTGTGCTTGGGGTGTTCCTGGAGACCCTGGGGCAGCAGCTGCCTGCCGTAACCAGGCACTCACACACAGGCACATATAAACACCCAGACATAAACACGACACTTTCTCAGACCCACACAGACATATGAGAACGTGAACACCTGGAAACAGACCACAGAGACAGACACAGACTCTTCCCCCAGGCCCAGCCTGGCCCTTCACAGACCCTGCCACAGAGATGCCTAGACAACACATACAAATGTCCGGAGACCTTCCACCGTGCACACAGCCGGGGACCCTCCCCCCTGCCTGGAAAGGTGCCTGGACACAGATCCACACCTACCTCCCCTTGCTCTTCAACACAGGCCCTGGGGACGCCCAGGCACAAAGTTTAACTCAAGAGTGACCCTTAGGTCATTCCAGCCCCTGCCATGGTCCATTGTGCATAGTTTGTGGCACATACTTTTCTTTTTCGGGACAGGGTTTCTCTGTGTAGCCTTGGCTGTCCTGGGCTTGTTTTGTAGACCAGGCTGGCCTCGAACTCACAGCGCTCTGTCTGCCTCTACCTCCCTGAGTGCTGGGATTAAAGGCATGTAATACCATACCTGGCTATGGCACATACTTTTCTAACCTTTACCTCTCCAAATCTATTGGCCTGCAGGAGAGTAGCTGTGTGTGTGTGTGTGTGTGTGTGTGTGTGTGTCTGTGTATGTCTTTCTGTCTGTGTCTGTCTATGTCTGTGTAACTGTGTGCTCAGAGCACAGGCTGAGCAATGGCCTCTGTCTCCCTCACCCTCCCTCTTCCCAACAGGTGACTGGAGGAATGGAGCACACTCCCCTCCCCCACCCATTCCTGGGCCTGAACAATGCCCACTCCAGGACCCAAAATAGCCCCTTGAGCAGAGCCAATGCCCTTTTATGGCCATGTCTCCATTGTGCATGTTAGGGGTGGGGCTGGGGTCATGAGGTATATGGGCAAGATAAAGCCCAGGGTGGCAGGAGGCTTACCTACCCTACTCTCTTCATCCTTCCTTCTTCCCGCCTCTCTGTGATTACAGCTCCAATGGCCCCCAAAAAGCCAGAGCCCAAGAAGGACGATGCCAAGGCCGCTGCCCCCAAAGCAGGCCCAGCACCTGCGGCTGCACCTGCAGCTGCCCCTGCGGCTGCACCTGAGCCGGAGCGCCCCAAGGAAGTGGAATTTGATGCCTCCAAGATTAAGGTGAGTGAGGGAGCTGGGTTGTAGGGGAAGGGACAGAGCAAATGGGTGCCTCTCAGAGTGGGACCTACCATGGCAGGTAAGGCCCTAGGCCCGAGCTGAAGCTGGCATTTTCTGCGCAGAGGTTAAACAGGAGCTGCTTGTTTCAGACATCTGCAGAACCAAAGGAGGCGGGATGATGGTCAGACAGCTGGTGAGATTGCCCTGAGGCTGCTGAGAGGCCCGTACACTTTAAGAGTGGGGTCTGGACCAGGAAATGCCCTTTTGGTGATTTTGAAAACCCGACTCTCCTTGCTCTTCTCTCTGGATTTCATCTCTTTAGGAGCACCTGGAGCCAGCTGTCACCCATTCTAAGAGCTCCTCCTTCTCTGGCTGTGGGGGACCACAGCGAGCATCCTTAGGTGAAGTAGTGTGTAAGGGAAACTGGAGCCTTGCCAGGCTGGGTGACACTCACCCTTGCCAAGATCACCAAGCCCAGAGATGGCAGAGCCTCCCCGCCTCCCTACCAGGCTTCATGTTTAGCTGGGAAAACGGAGAAACAGGTTGGAAGGGAGGCTCTGGGAGTCATGCAGGGAACTGGCTATGGAGCACGACCAAGCAGCACCAGGAGCCTTTCCTGGCCCAGTTGTCTTTCCCAGAGTCTAAACTGGGAGGAAGGCCCGTGCCTGCCACCTGTGGCATCCACATAGCAGCACGCAGCCTGTGTCCTGTTCTCAGCTGGCCAGTGGCCACTGCTGCTCTGGCTGTTTTCTGAGGGACCTGGGGAGTCCTCTCCACCCACGTTTTTACCAACCCCGAACCATTCTTTTTTTAATTAAAAAGATTAATCTCATATATTTTATTTTATTCATTTTACATCCTGACTGCAGTTTCCCTTCTCTCTTTTCCTCCCAGTCCCTCTGTCCTCCCCTCCCCTCCTTTATTATTATTATTATTTGTTGTTGTTGTTTCAAGACAAGGTTTCTCTGGGTTAACAACCCTGGCTGTCCTGAAACTCACTTTGTAGACCAGGCTGGTCTTGAACTCACAGAGATCTGCCTGCCTCTGCCTCCCAAGAACTGGGATTACAAGTGTATACTACCACACCATCCCCCTGAGCCATTTTACAGAGCCTCCATCTGGTCGTAAGCCCTTCCCAGAGGCACCTGCCTGTATTCTTTGGGTTCATATTCCAGCTCAGCTTCATCTTAGCTATTCTAATCCTTAGTTTCCTTGACTATGAAATGGGACTATAAGCCCTGTACTTGCAAGATGGCTGTACCCCAAAAGAGTGGGGTAAAGAGGCCCTTTTCCCCTGCCTTTCTCTCTTCCCAGCTGGCAAAGAAGGGCAAACCCTTCCCGGGAAGCCAGGGAGCCCTGTCTTCCCAGGTTTTCCCACAGAGAGCCCCGAAGGAGCCAAGAATGATGTTTTTCTCAGTAAACATCAAATTGGAGGGCTACCCACAGCAGATGACAGAAATGGGGTGTTCTTCTGCACAGCTCTATGCTCTATGGAGATCGGAGGGGCTCTCAGGCACCCTCTTCCCCCGGCTCCTTTCCCTGGTATGACCTTGACTTTGGAGAGAGTGACTGCAGTGATAAAAATAGGCTGGCATCAGATGAGGAGGGGGATACTGGGTCTCAGGAAGCCTCCTGACCTCAGGGTGGCCCGATGGTGGCCTCAGTGTGCTCTCTATCTCTGTGCTATGCAGAAGTCGGGGAGCTGCCTCCGGGCACAGGCAGAATGTGAAGGGCAGGTACAGGCTTTGTGGATTAGTGTCCAACTTGGAGGGCCCCCAGGATCTGTGAGAGATAGAGACACATACGTGCACAAGTATGCGCACCTCATTACCCACAGAAATGCTTCCATGCTGACACAGCCTCTGGCCTCAAGCCGTAGGCTTGCTCCTCCCCCCAAAGTCAGCGTGGTCAGGCCCGTGACATTGAGCATACGTGTTTAGAGCCAGGGCATCAGGGGAGGGTCCACTGGGGCTGGGGCCTCTGTATTCATCCCCCTCCTCTGTGGCCTGCCTGGTGTCCCAATCTCATTACACATAGACCCCAAACCTTGGACAGGTGTGTGTGTGGCTGTTGCAGCAACAGGGAGGGTGTCTGGGTAGACAGCATGAGGTCCTGCAAAGCAGAGGCTGTAATGCTGCCATGAGGACAGGCTGATACAGCCAAGGGCCTGAGGCCTAAGGTGCCCGGGATGACCCACGGTTTCTCAGTCTTTGGACTTTCTTGCAGATCGAGTTCACACCGGAACAGATTGAAGGTGAGCAGGGTTCTGAGCTCGGGGTGGGGGTGGACCAGGGGGCTGGAGGGTGGGGTGGGAACCCTCAGGGAGTAGTCAGAACTCTGTGCCCTTTCCCACAGAGTTCAAGGAGGCCTTCCAGCTGTTTGACCGCACACCCAAGGGCGAGATGAAGATCACCTATGGGCAGTGTGGGGATGTCCTGCGGGCTCTGGGTCAGAATCCTACCCAGGCAGAGGTGCTCCGAGTCCTGGGGAAGCCCAAACAGGAAGGTAGTGTACCCTGCCTGTTAGTGACAGCCCCAGGGGAGACTGCCAGGGTGGGCGGCTAGCAGACACCAAGGGAACCTCACTGACCTGCTTTCCGATTTCCTCCTGCTGTTGGGATGAAGATGTGAGCCTGGCTACCAGGCCACAGTGATAAGAGATTAGCAGGATGGGTCTGCTGGACCCTTTGGCCCAAGACTCCTGGCCATTAGGGTTGGACTTTAGCACTGACTGGAATCCATGCTGGTGCAAGGGTGACCTAGGTGCTCATTTTTTACCCTATTCTAGTTTCCCAGCATCCCCTTTGTGAGTCTTTGTCAACTTCCTTCACCTTGGCTGCTTGCTTTGACCCAGAAAGAGAGACACCCAGTCCCTCATCATAGGTCTGGGAAGGCCTGTGATAAGCTCAGCTGTGTCCACAGGGTGGGGTGGACAGAGGAAGGTCTATAAGAAATGAGACCTGGGCTCGGTGGTCAAGAGGCTGAGGTAGGTGGGTCACCAAGACTGGGAAACCAGTCTAGGTAACATAGTTCCAGGCTAGCCTGGGCTATAAAGTGAGGCTCTGTCTCAAAAGGGGGTGCTGGGGATGTTTTTCAGTTGACAGAGCACTTGCCTAGCTTACTTGAAACCCTGGGTTTTATCCCTGGCACTACATAAACAGTGCAGGGTGACATATGTGCAAAAAAAAAATTTTTTTTTAAAAAAAGATGTAATATATACCCCTAATCCTAACACCGAGGAAGTAAAGGCAAGAGGATTGCCACAAATTTGAGGCCAGCCTGGTCTAGATGGCAGGTTTCAGGCTCGCCTAAAATATGCAGTAAGATCAGAGAGAGAGAGAGAGAGAGAAAGACAGACAGAGAGAGACAGAGAGAACCCACTAGGAATAGCAAAGGTCTATGTAGACTGTCAAGTGTCCTGTGGTGGTGTCAGGTTTTTGTTTTTTAAATTTATTTATTATGTGTACAGCATTCTGCATACATATAACACTTGCATGCCAGAAGAGGGCACAAAACCTTATTATAGATGGTTTTAAGCCACCATGTGGTTGCTGGGAATTGAACTCAGGTCCTTTGGAAGAGCAGCCGGTGCTCTTAACCTCTGAGCTATCTCTCCAGCCCCCAGTGACAGGTTTTGTACAGGGCACATGCATGAGTGAGCCCAGGAACCACGGGCGAGGGACGGGCCCCCAGGGTTAGGCACAGGGAAGCTTGTACCTGTGCACCCTCTAACCCGGGACTTGGGACCATCTGTCTGCAGAGCTCAACTCCAAAATGATGGATTTTGAAACGTTCCTGCCCATGCTCCAGCACATCTCCAAGAACAAGGACACTGGCACATACGAGGACTTCGTGGAGGGGCTTCGGGTCTTTGACAAGGAGGGCAACGGCACGGTCATGGGCGCGGAGCTCCGCCACGTGCTGGCCACTCTGGGTGAGGGCAGCCTCCTCTTCTACCCATCTCCCTCTCTGGAGTATCCTGGGGGTAACCCTCGTGTCTCCTGCCTCGGGGTGTATGTCTCATCCGTGAAATTAAAACAGACAGAATGACAGTCAAGGTGCCTTGATGGCAGGAGGTAGAGATGCCATTCAGGCGTGGCTGAAGGGAAGCTAGAACCACAGTGAGGGTGGGAAAGCTCTGGAGTCAGGGCAGGAAGGTACTCCGGGATTAATAGCTCTAGTGTTCATCATTCTCTGTGGCCAAGGAGGGGACATACTTGCGATATCAAGGTCCTAGGTGCCTCCCACTGTCATCTCCATTATCAGGTATCCCCGTCATCTGACTCACCAAAGTGACTTTTTGTTGAAGAAAACGTTTGTTGAACAATTGCTGTGTTCAACCCTATGCTGGTCTTAGGGCTCACATACACCTTTGTATGTATGTGAAGAGTGTGGGCATCACCACGGTTGGTGCTCTGCCAGTGAATAGCACAGCATGGTATAGTCAGAAAGTGCCAGACTTTGGCTGGGAATGTGGCTTGCCTAGCAGGCAGGAGGCCCTCGGTTGAATCCTCTGCACTGTGGTGTAAGCATGTGATACCAGCACTTGGGAGACGGAGGCAGGAGAATTAGAAGTTAAGGTCACTCTTAGTGATAGAGCCAGTATGAGACCCTAACCCAAGTAAAAAAGAGAAAGAAAATAAAAAGGAAATTTCAGACTGTATGTGGAGCAGGGAGAAGTCTCTCAGACCTTTCCACAGTCATCTGTCAAGGTCTCTGTCAAGCTCTTCTCCACGAGCCCTTCTGCCAGGCTTAAAGAGCCACCCCAAGAGACTGCTACCAGAGAGGCAGGGGGCTCCTGTCACCCTAGTGGGCAGAGGGCAACATATACACGAAGATGCCAAGGCTCAGAGGAGGCTCCAGGTCTTCACCTCAAGGTCTTGTACTTCTTGACCTATGATTGGTTATTCTGGCCTTGGACATAGGGGTGATGGGCAGCCACGGCCTTGGGAACAATGCTGCTATAGCAAACTCACCATCCGGAAGGATTCAGTGAGCTCCTCCCCCGGCCTCACCCAGTCATCTCTCTGGGTGGTGTGACTTTGCCTCCTCCCCCTGGCAGGTGAGAGACTGACAGAAGATGAGGTGGAGAAACTGATGGCTGGTCAAGAAGACTCCAATGGCTGCATCAACTATGAAGGTGAGCTCCTCCGAGGGAGAGCCAGGGGGGTCAGCTTTGTGGGGAGAAGGTGGGGTGACCCAGTCAGAAGGTTGGAGTCTTTGGGGGAAAGGCATAGAGAGCCGGTTCTGTGGGCGTGGGCATAAGGATCTTCTGGGGAGGAGTCCTGTGCCCAGCTCCACCCCTGGCTGCCCACCGTGAGTCCCAGACACTCATCCCCCCTTTCCTTCCAGCGTTTGTGAAGCACATCATGGCCAGCTGAGCCTCTCGCCGGTGAGACCCTCACTCCCTTTGACACACACTGCTGCGGTCCCCCACCCCAGCCCTTCCTCCATAATCTGTGGCTGCCTTTGCTTTAGGAAGCCCAGGGCAGGCCAAGCTGGGGACATCTCATCTCGCGACTGTGATGCTGATACCAGGTCTGGGGCTTCAGGAAGGAAAGGAGTGGGCCAGACTCCTGCACTTGGTCCCAGAGCACTCTAGTGTGGTTGTCTTTTCTGGCCCCTGTTGGGATATGCTTGCCTACCTGTGAATGGCCTTTCTGTCCCCACCCTGTGGCCTTATGAATAAATGATTTCCTTCCTTTTTCCTTTCTTCCTTTCTTCCTTCCTTCCTTCCTTCCTTCCTTCCTTCCTTCCTTCCTTCCTTCCTTCATTCTTTCCTTCCTTCCTTTCTCCCTTCCTCTCTTCTTCTCCCTCCATCCTTCCTCTCTTTTCCATTCTCTCTTTCCATAGCTCATCTCTGTCCATTCTATGGTGCTGAGCTACAGGAACCCCAGTTCCCCTTCTTTCGCTCTTACCTCACTCCTGCCTTAGGGAGATGGCAGCCATACTGGCCCACTCAACACAAGGATACCATTGGGAGCCTAATAGCATTGTTGGAACAGTTAGGTAACTACAGGCCATTGGCCCCGAGTCATACAAGCCACAGAAGCCTAAGATTAAGCCCAGTGCAGGGAATGACCTGGCCTGAGTGACAATAGGAATGAAAGGCAAGGCAAGAGCTGACTTATCCCCAGGCTGTCAAAATCGAAGGTGCGTCAGCCACAGCCTCGACTCTAATGGAGAAACTGGGGTGTTCTGCCCTAGGGTGAGGGCTGGAATAGCATGTCATCTACCAGAGGGTCCCTTGGCCCTAGTTTTCAATGGAAGTCATGGCTATGGGGCTCTATGGACACAAGAAGAGGAGGCTTCCTGGAGAAGGTTTGGTGGGGAGGAAAAACAATATCCCACAGAGGTGCAAGGCTTGGAGCCTGGGAACAGAGGTGTCAGAGGGAGGCAGGATGATATAGGGCTAGAAGAAGCCACAGGACCAGGAGCTCAGGACAGCCCCACCAAGGCTCATTTCCAGGGCTTGTTGTGTATGTAAGTCTGTCTCTATATAGGGTCCAGATGTGGGCATTCTAGGGCAAGCTCAAATGCCTGTGTGGGCCAGGCTGCCTGGTGGTGCTGGTGTGGGAGTGGTGGAGTCTGAGTGTGTAAGGATTATGAGGGTATGTAGAGATGTGTGTGAGGGTGTGTGTGTACATGAGAGGGGGTCACTGTCACAGAAGTCTGCTGCTGCTTCTGATTTTAGCCTTTCAGGGCGTTAAACTATATAAACTTACACCGAGCCCCTGCTGCATGTCAGGTTCTGTTCCAGGCACTGAGGACATAGGGACAGAGAGGTTAGTACAGAGCTGTTTGTGGGGTTCACACAAAGCAGACCCTGTGGCTCAGAGGGTGTCCTGAAAGCTGGAGAGGGCTAGAAGTCTGCCTGCCTGTGTGTGTGTGCAAGGAGGTGTTGGTGTGGTGGTAGACACACACACACACACACACACACACACACACACACACACACACACGCACGCACACACACACGCACGCACAGGACCAAATTTGGGAGCATAGAGACTGAAGGGTAGGAGGGAGAGCTTTGGGAGCTGGTTAGCTTGTAAATAATGAGGCCAGGGATTATATGAGAGGGTAAGAATGTGACAGATTTGAGGGACAGGAGCTAAAATGTAGAATATGTAAAGAACTCATATAAATCACCTCCTTGGAAACAATCTGATTAAAAACTGGGCAAAAGACCCGAGTAAACAGCTATGAAGAAGAGGAACACGGGTGGGCATGGTGGCACACACCTTTATCCTGGCACTCAGGAGACAGGTCAGTGGATCTCTGAGTCTGAGGCCAGCTAGGTTTAGGTAGTGAGACTGTGTCTTAGAAAAAAAAAAAAAAAGGCTGGGGCTGGGGTGATAACTCAGGGCTAGAGGGGCTTCTACACGGCCCAAGGTTCAATCTCCAGGATGAAAATAAAGATTAAAATTAAATTTCAAAAAGATATGCACTGGGGCTGGAGAGATGGCTCAGTAGGTGAAGATGCCCACTCGCTGCCTGGCATGATGACCTGAGTCCGATCCCTGGGGTCTACCTGGTGAAAGGGGAGAAAAAACTCCTGAAAGTGGTCCTCTGACCTCCGCACTTGTGCCGTGGCACATTCGATTAAAAAGTTAGAGCTATCCAGATAGCCAGTCAACCGGCAAAATGGCGCTGAGGACCACGCACTCATGTTTGGCATCAGCTACACAATGGAATCGTATACACGTTTTTAAAAGGTTTATTTTTATTTTAGGTGGATGAGTGTTTTGTCTGTATGCATGTATGTGCACTGTGTGTAGGCCTGGAGGTCAAAAGAGGAAGGGCATCAGGTCCCGGGACCTGGAGTTAGAGGCGGTCGTGAGCCGCCATGTGAGTGCTGCGACACAACACTCATTCATGCAGGGGCAGTGAGTGCTCTTCATCACTCTCCGGCCCCATGATTCACACGGTTTATTTACTTTTAAATTTATTTTACTTGTCATTTATTTATTTGAGTCATGATCTCACTAATCATTAGAGTAAGGCAAATCAAAACTGTAATGCCAGCGTTTGGAAAGTTGAGGCAGGAGGATTGCTGTGGCGTCTGAGGCAAGCGTGGCTTACATAATGAAATCATCTTAAAAAACAACAACTAAAAACCCAAATCAAAGCAGAGCAACCGAACAAATAATAAACTACAACAGCCATCCTGTGCAATAGGAAATAATGTGTTCTCGAGGGTGCAGAGAAATGAGAACCTCGTGTATTGGTGGGAGGGTAAAATGATGCAGCCATTATGGCAGACAAAATAGTGGTCCTTCAACATGCCTGAAGGTTACACATGCAGACACATGTGCGCGCACGCGCACACACACACACACACACACACACACACAAACAAACAACACGGCTATCCCTTGACACAGTTTCAATTCTTCAAATTAAGGACAGGATCTCAAATATATCATTCGCTTCCACCTTTTTGGCAGCATTGTTCACAAGTAACCCACTCTGAAAACAAGTCAGATGGGGATGGATGGAAAAGATAAACGCAGTGTAAAAATGTAAAGAATATTGCAGCCCTGAGGACCAAACCAGGGCCACACACTTGCCGGGCAAGCAGCATTCAGTGGAATCACTCAGTCTTCTCTTTCCTTTTTTAAAAATTAAGACTCATTAGTTGGTCCTGGATGTCCTCAAACTTGTAGTCATCCTCCTGTCTTAGCCTCCTCAGTGCTGGGATTGCAGGCGTGTGCCACCAGTCCCTGATTCATACATCATACATCAAAGGGAAGAGAATTCTGGTCCTGTGCAGGACGGGGTGGGGTGGTCTCGGAGTTTTCCTGCTGGCGAGGCCCACCTTGGGGAAAAGTCCTGAGCAGGAAATGTATGCGCTTTTAGTCAGTTCCAGGCAAGCTGTGGCCCTGTTGTCAGTCAGGGAGGTACATGTGTCCTCCTTCTAGAATGCCTGCCCCTCATCTGGTACCTCCGGCTCTCCCTCAAAGACTGCCCCTACCCCTATCTCCACGAGGCAGGGAGAGTGCTTACCTTGGCTTGGTGGTGGGAGGGAGAGAGCATCTCACACGTTTCTCCATGACCCAGCAGCCCCCCGCCCTACGGGGTTTCCTGTGTGATGGGTCAGGCTGCGGCGGCCCTGTTGAAGACAGGTCCTGGAACGTTCCATGTGGTTTGGGTAGTGTACAGTTTATTCCTCTTCTTGCTTCTGTGACAAACGGCTGACAAATGTAACTTAAGGGGGGGGGCACCCACAGTCTGAGGGTGTAGACCAGCATGGCAGAGAAGGTACTGTCATTGTTAGGAGGTGACATTGTGTCTACAGCCAGGAAGCAGGGCGCTGAATGCTGGTTCTCCGCTCTCTTTCTCCTTTGTATTCGGCACAGTGCCCAGGCAAGGCGGCACTCAGTGGCTGGGCTGGCCGTTCACCTTGCTCAGCATCTCCCAGTGTGTCTAGTTGTGGGGACTGGTATGCATTTTGGTAGGTTCCCCTGTGTGTGTGTGCGCATACATGTGTATATACATGTATGTGTGCCTGAATGTATTCAAGTGTGCCCTTGTCTGTGAGTGTATCCTTAAGCATGATGAATGTCTGAGAACATATGGGTACGTGTGTGCTCGTCTGTCTGCGAGTATGTATGTGTATGTTTGCCTCTGTGCGTGACTGCTTGTCTGTGTGTTTGTGGGTGTGTCTGAGGATGGACGCGCCGGGGGCTCTGCTGAGTTAGCATTGGTGCTGGGCAGGCCACGTTGCCAGCCAGGCTGTGGCCTCCCCGCAGTTGCATAAACACTGGTCCCAGCTTCCCCCTCAAGCAGGGTGGTCCGCACTCTGTCCCCACTGCTGGTAGAGATGGATAGAAGGATGAGGTGTTTGTTCCTCCCAGGCCTCAAGTGTCAGGTCATGGGCACCATAAGGCTGGGGGCAGTCTGGGCTTTCCCTGCTTCATGTCTCTCATCTGGCCTAAGCTGGGACTCTGAATTCTTAGGTGGCAGCATTAGTTGCCTCTCTGGTTCTGATTCAGGCTGAACCAGAGGGCCAGCCAAGGGCAGCGTTCAGCATCAGGACTCCAGACAGGGTCAGATGGTCCTGTGGAACTTAGCTCAGCAGGTCCAGCGACAGGGAAAAGCAGAGTCCAGTGGGCCACTGGAACTCACATGTTCAGGGGCTGGAGCTTGAAGCCAAAGGACAGAGAGTCAGAGAAGCTGGGCCTGTGATGTCTCCCTGCTCTGATGTCCTTCAGGACCACCCATGGCTCTTGGCAACCTTCCACATCCTGTGTTCTCTCTTTCAGACACCATTCCCAGGGACTTTAGGGTCACCAGGAGGCCATGGATTAGGTCACATAGTCACATGAAGCAGAGGTACAGGAAGGCTGGAATTCAGGCAGGAGCGGAGCAAAGTCAGGCTCTTGAAAAA